AATGTCATTTCTCCTGCTGAAACCCCCCAATGGTTTCCCCCCTCACTTTGAATAGGATTCAAACTGCTTACTACCTTGGCTTACAGAGCTCAGTGTAATCTGGCCTCGGCCCACCTGTGCGACCCCATCTGGGCCCTCCTTCCCGCTTGCTCATTTTGTCCAAGTCCAAAGGGCCTGGCCCATTACGTCCTTGAACCCACCACACACCGAGCCTCTTCCTGCCCAGAGCTGTGGTTTCCGCCGTTCGCTCTCCCTGGAACTCTCACCTCCGGGCGTGGCAGGACTGGCTCCTTCCTGCCATTGAGCTCTTGGTTTAAATGTCTTCTTCCCACCCTGTCACTCTCTGCTTCACCCGCTCAGCAGTCGCTGGTGGGTTTTCTCCTCTGTTTACTGGTCTGTTGTTTATAAGCTCCTGAGAGTAAGTAAGGACCTTGTCTGTTGTGTTTACCACGTACCCCAGCTGCTTGCACCTGCCCTGAGCCCGCAGGAGGCCTAGAGCTGGCTCTGAAGAGACACTGGATGAGTGGATGATTGGGTGACACCGAAGGTGTTATCTGAGCTTCTCCCTGAAAGCTGCCAGACAGGGCACCCTGCAGGAGTCCGCTCAGCCTTTTTGCAGCCTGGCTGTCACTTCCACCACGAGGCATTGGTGCTGGTCCGTCTGGGGCCCACAGGACCCTAAGGTGCCCTTCGCCCTGGCCTCCCCCAGCTGCCTCCCGACCACCTCATGTCCACCTTTGCATTTCAGAACACTGCCGGGGGCCGGTGCGGGGCCCGGCCCGCCCTCAGCTGCCCCTTCGGACAGGAACAAGAAAAGCAGTGTCAGCACCACCCCCGCCCTGGGGCTGAAGAAGTTCTTCTTGGCCCTGAGTCAGGGCCCTCGGCCCAAGATGGGCAAGTCCCGCAGCTACAGCGTGGAGCAGCTGCAGCCCCCTGCGCCTGGCCCGGCTTCACACAGCAGCGCCCCTGGAGTGAAGAGAGCCCCGTCGTTACAGTCCCTGCATCTGGTGAGTCCCAAGGCCCCGGCCAGGGGCATGTGAGGCCAGTGGGGGTGTGGCCATCGTCGGAACGAGAGGTGAAAGGAGCCAAGGCGGAGAAAGAGGAGCTGGCGTCCTCTCGGCCGATGCTGAGACGTGGACTCCCTGGACGGGGGGGTGGGCAGCGCCCACACTTCTGTTCCTCCACCCTGCTGTCCCAGCCTGGGCTCACCTAGACAGCGCCCCCGCCACCTTCCCCTTGCTCTGCCACCTCTGCCAAGTCCTGGCGTCCACTGCCTGATCATTCTGGAACCTTCTCCGTGGCCACAGCAACTGTTAGTCTAGCACAAATCACTTCACTCCTGGATCACCTCAGCGGCCTGCTGACTGGCATCCCTGCCCTGTCTTTCTCCGTGTGGCTTCCAGGGCGGTCCTTCTGATGTGCAAATCTGGCCTTGCCACCCCCTTGTTAAACATCTGCCCTTGCCCCTCATCGCCCTCAAGATGAAGTTCGGGCCACTTGACATTGCCAGAGGGTTTCCGTGATCTGACTGCTCATCATTCTCCTGACACAGGGTCCCAGTTGTCCTCAACCTTCCAGCTCTGGAATCAGGCCACACAGCCTGACTTTGAACCTTCCCCTGAACTGTTCTTCCCACCTTCCCCGCCTGCTCCTGTCTGCTCATCCATCACACTTAAGGCATCGCCTCCTCCAGGAAGCTGCTTCCCACCCTTCCCTGGGCTGAGCTGGGGGCTTCTGCTCTGTGTTCCCTTCTCAGCCTATGCTCCCCTCCTTCCTGGAACGTGTCACGTGGTCTTTTATTTGATTTCTGTCTGTCTCCCCTCAGTGAAATGTCTGTTCTTTGAGGGAACATCTTTACACTCCCAGAGTGCAGTACGATGATTAGTATAGTAGACAGAAACACAGTGAATGAAGGAGAGAGTGAGTGAGTGAGTGTACACAGGGCAGCCTGCTCAAGCTCCCCCTCCCGCGTGCCGACCAGCGACCAGCGGCAAACCAGCGGCAGCGCCTGCCTCTCAGCTAGGTCTCTGAAAGGGCAGCTCTGGGCCAGGTGTTCCCAGGTGTTGTGTTTGTTCTAACCTTCCCCGCCCCCTCCCGCTTGGGCAGAACACAGCGGATGATCTGTGGTTTGGGGCAGTGGAGCCTTTTTTCAGGCTGAAGTAGGGAAGAGGACGCAAGCTGAATGAAAATGCCCTTGGTTGTCTTGCACTACGACCAGTATAAATATTTGCTGGATAAATGAATGCAGGACAAAAAACAAAAGCAGAGCGGTATCAAGCTGGGGACAAAAAACTAGTGACATTGTGCTCCAGGAATTCTCTCTTCTCATGAAGCTAGACTTGTCCCCGGAGTGTCTGAGCGGGGGCCCGGATGTATGGCCATCGGAGCTTCAATCTCTGTAAACCCAAGGGGGGTGACAGCCCATTAGTGTGGCAGAGGGGTCCTCGGCCACGTGACCTGAGTGGGCAGCGGGAGGAAGTGAGCTGGCCGAGACGGGGGGGGGGGAGCGCGCAGGGAGGACTGAGCAGCAGAAAGACTAGTTAGGAACTGAGAACAGAACCTAAAAGAAGCATCCGTCTTGCCCAGAAATATTCACGACGTGTCTCAGGGTGACCCACTTCCTGTTAGACTGTTGTGCTGCCGAGTGTGTGCGTGAGAGGGTGGAGGGGCGCCTCACCGGCTTGGTTTTCCTTTGCCCTCCTGGGTGGGCAGCGACCCCAGTCTCGCGCCCACCATGCTGGCTGTGGCTCTTTGACTTTTGCGCCTGCATCTGGAAGGTGCCTCCCTTCTCCCCTCCCCCCTTTCCCTAGTGACCCCCAGCTTGTCTTTCTGGTCTGAGTTAAACGTGACTTCTCCCAGGATGCCCTCCTGAACTCTGACGCAAGGTCAGGGCACCCTCTGACGTTTCCTGATAATCTGTCTTCTGAGAGCACGGACTCCCCACATGATAAACGTGTGTGGTCTTTGTTTAAAAGTCCACCTCTCCCTGCCTCCGCCTCCACCACCCCCACCCCATCCCCACCCTCAGAACGGCCGCCTCACTGGGTCAGTTTCTAGGACACAGATCTGACCTTATAACTTGTCTGACTGATATCACTCAGTGGCTCCCCAGCAGGTCACAAAAAGTCTGGCCCTTGGCTCCATCCTGTCTCCCATCACCTCTGCAGCCCAGCCACCCAGACCATGAGTATGTTGCAGAAGGTCCGATGCTTTCTCTTGGCTCTCCCTGTCTGTGCATATACTGTTTCTTCTGCCTGGAGTACCCACCTCCGTCTTCACTTGAAGGGCTCATGCTCTAGGCTGTGCCAAGGTGGCAGCTCCTTCAGTGTCCCAGCGCCTCCTGACCTGGGTCTCTGTCTCTGCTTTCTGCACGCCAGCGGCCGTGCTTCTAGCCTAATGCTTACAACATGCATTCAGGGCTTTGGACCTACCCGTGCTCACCCCACCCCATCACTGCACGAACACCTTGAAGGACTTTCGTCTTGTCCATCTTTTTATGCACAATCTTTTAAGGAACATACTTAGATAAAAAATGTTTAACCTTGGCAATCATAAAAGGGATACTAAAGAATCAAAATATTTAAGATTTTAACTCTAAAATTGTGTTTATTATTCTGTAATTAATTTGATTTTACCTTTTTTCTTAACAGTGAGATAGATTTTATTAATCAAAGAAATAATTAGTGTTATTGTATTCAACTGTTATTTCAGCCAAAAAAATTTTTTTTCATTTGAAGTTTCAGAATGCCTACGTAGGCCCATTTCCTTATGTAAGTTATGGTTATTCCTGGTAAGAATTTTGAAGTAATGGCAAAAGCTTACGCTGTGCCCTTCTTAGCCGGCTCTCAGGTTCACGGTTGCCGTCTGGTCTCTGTCAGCCCGTTGCTGGGTGGCTTCTCTCACCTGCAATATTGGGCCTTTCCCACCAGGTGTCACCCTCTCGCCAACATCGGAAAGCTGCCTCCTTTCAGAGCCTCCAGTCTCTGCTGAGCGGCAAAGTGGACCGGTCCAACCTCTACCTGGTGGGGGAGCCAGGGGACCACAGAGCAGCCGGCAGGTAAGAGCAGGCAAGTGGTTTGGGGGGTAAACCCAGAGCACGGACGATGGCGCTGTAAGCTGGACTCCCTGCCTTAGCAGCACGGCCCCGAGTGGGGTCCCTTTAAAGAGAAAGTGAGGCTCCCTGTACCTTAGGTTGCCTCTTAGAGCCCGAACCTTAGTGCCCTTGCCCCGTGCAGTGAAGCTCTGAAACCGGGTGGGGTTTCTGAAAGGGGTAGAGTTGGAAGGTTTGATTCTTGCGTCCCTCTGATGACATCTTGCAATCAGAATGTTTCAGAGAGCTTCCCTAGCCCAGCTAAAGATCTGACTACAGATCCGTAGGCAGGATCCCCAAAGAGGCCCTTGACCTGTGACCCTGCCTAGAGAAATCCACCCCGTCTGAGGAGACCGTCTAGGCTAGCTGCTCTTACCTGGGGCTCCATGAGTGTCCATTAACTCCTGGAAATTCTAGATAAAATCATAGCTTTCTGCAGAGTCTCAGAGAGATCTCTGCACCTAAAGAGATTAAAAACCACTGCTCTGAGGGGTGGGAGCTCCTGGGTCTGCAGCAGGCTCTGCAGAGCAGCAGGCAGCGGTGGGACCCCCAGGCTCAGCCCCAGCTAGTGGCCTCAGTCGTCTTTCAGCCAGGGAGGGGCTGGGCCCCGCGCCGGCCGCCCTGCCCTCACTCTCTGGCCCCTCGCAGGCCAGCCAAGGCGCCGCCCCGGCGTGCCCTCAGCGTGGAGGACGTGAGTGCCCCGGGCCTGGCTCGCACTGTGGGCCGCGTGCTGGAGGTGTTCCCGGATGGCACGAGCCAGCTGCAGCTTCAGCGCTCCCCGGAGGGCACTTTCGGCTTCTGTGTGGCCTCTGGGAATGGGCGCCGGGACTCAGGTAGGCCCCCTGCCCTTTCTGGCTCCACAGCCCTGGGGCCTTAGCAAACCACAGCAGTGCCTTCTGGCTGTGGTCGTTTCCTGTCTTTGGCTGAGCAACAGGGCTCGGAACTCAGGGAGCCTCGGTGAAAGGACTGGAATTCTCCCCTGGAGTAGGTAGAGATGGCAGGCTTGCCCCACTGTCCCTCTGCTGCCTGCTGACATCTTGAAATCAGAATCTCGACGCCACCTTTTCATTGCAGATCGAGAGAGATTGTGTTTATCTGGTTCCCTTCCTCTAGCTGAGGGAAGTCCGGGCTCGTGGACCATCCTGCCGGTCTATGCATCCAGGCCCCTCCCCCAGGGCTGGCTCCTGCCAGTGATGTTCACACAGATCACATGGATCCTGGCTCCCCGTGCTTGGCTGGGCAGCCCGTTGGGTCTTGATTCAGCAGTGGCAGGATCAGGGAGGGGCTCTGGACATCCTTCTGCCAGTTCTCTGGCCAGTTCTCAGCCCTGCCCCATGAATCTTTCAGGGCAAAATGACCTCCCCACGCCTTTACCCAAGGTCTGTGGGCCAGAAGCCATTGCAGGGCGAGGGACCCTGAAACATACTTCTCAGATAAGATGAGTAGGGGTGGGAAGGAAGGGAGAGAGAGGAGGAAGAGAGAAAGGGAGAGACATACAGGAAGGCAGGCTCAGCAGCTACCCTCCCTGGGCTCTATGCGGAGGGTTTATTTAGTCTTTGCTTTGCTCTCGGGGGTCAGAATTGTTTAGCTGGCAAAACTCTGCCTGCTGCCAGAGTTGCAGACCACAGGGGGTTCTTGCACGTTCCGTCATTCATTTTTCAACAATATACATTGATGACCTACTAGGTGCTGTAGATACTGGGGATAGAGCAGTACCTGGAATAGACAAAATCCACCTTCTCAGGAGTGAGGGAGCTGGACTCTATCTACAAATATATATATATATATATATATATATGTATGTATATAAACACATGTATTACATGTTATGTATATATATTTATATATTTTGTGTTATAAATATACTTATATGTTACATGTTATATAACACGTAATATATAAATTATGCATTCCCCACTGCGTTCTTTTGGGTTTTCTCAGGTAGTGAAATGCACTGACAAACAAGCAAACAAAGCAGGCTGAGGCCCAAGGGCAGCGCGTATGGGAGCACCGGTGGGCAAAGCACGGTCCAGGCACAGGGAACGGCCAGTGCAGGGGCCCTGAGGCGGGGAGTGAGCTCGGCCCGGGGGAGGACCTGCATGGAGGTCAAGCTGGACAGAGAGGGGCGAGGGGGAGAGACGGAGCTGAGGTCAGAAAGGCCGGAATGGGGGAGAGACTGAGCAGAGTGCTTTGGCTTTCTTGCCAGTGAGACGGGAGCCCCAGGAGCTTTGGAGCGGAGGCTGACCTGCTCTGATTTAACGCCTTTAACAGGGTCCCTGGCTGTGCTGTTGAGAGTAGACCCTAGTGGGATGAAGGCAGAACCAGGGAGACCGGTTTGAAGGCTGTTTCAGTGGTCCAGGAAAGACATGGTGGTGGCAGCTTAGACTGGGGTGGCCGTGGGGATGGTGAGAAGTGCCCGGATTCTGGTTGACTTGAAGTCAGTTTTCACTGTTTGCTGATGGACTTTATACGAGTGTGAGAGGAAGGGAGGACAGGTGTCTCCCCACTCTGGCCCTCAGGACCTGTCTGTCCTTGCAGGGAGATGGCACTTGTGAACATATGCTGACTGTCACGCAGCTGTTAGCCACTCTGCCCTTCCTTCAGCCTCCTCTCTCCTTAGGTGAGGGACGCGGGCCCTCCGGGAGAGGCAGTGTGCAGATAGAGTTAGACCGCAGAGCATGGTTTGCACTCCAGTGCCTCTGTTGGCTGTGTGACCCTGAGCAGGTTACTTACCCATTCTGAGCCTCAGTTCTCTAATCTGTAAAATGAAGCTAATGATACCCTGCCTGGAAGAGTTATAAGGGACATTCAGTGACATACATAGGAAAGTGCCTGGCACTTTTTTCCCTTTCCTCTTTAGAAAAAGAATGTGTATTTGGTGAGCAGAACCCCAGATGGGGATAGACATGATGTGTATCACCTGTCATTGTGAGATCATACCCACCCTGGCATTGAACTCTATCCCCCCATCCTTCCCCAAAGTCCCTTTAGGCCCCTTTACAGGCAGAGACAGACGCTTCCCCCATCACCTTTCATGGAGTGCTGATGGGCAGGGCTCTCTAATGACCAAGAAAGAGCTTCTTGGGCTCTGCCCTGGCCTGCTCCCTGGAGCACCCCTCACCTGGGTTGGTGCGAGCTCTCCCCTGTCCTGCCCAAGTGGTGCCCTGCTCCTGCTGCTGCAGCTGTTGGATGTCACGCAGAGATTCCCACGCACATGGAACGTGGCTGGTGCTGGTGCCTCCTTGTCAGGGGCCAGCCTCCAGCAGCCAAGGGTCCCTCCTCCTGGGCCTCCGAGGGGCAGTCAGCCGGGGCTGGTTTGCATTCCTCACTGAAAGATGCTGGTGTTAATTTGCTGGCTGTCATATCAGGTTCCATACAAGGATGTGAGAACAGCAGGCTTCGCCTTCTGCTTCTAATTGAATACAACACAGAGATCATACATCCTTAACAAAGGCCGTTTCCAGCAGACAGTAAGAGCCTGCAGTAGCGGTCTCTCTGTCATATCTGTGTCGTGACTTTCAACTGTGGAACTTACCTCAGAGTCTCCCCAAAATGGTGGTATGACAGTGGTGTCTGGTCCTCCAGCTGCATTCTTTTGGGCTTTCTAGTCGCTCCCCACAGGGGTGTCCTGCTGTATGGGAGCTCTATCTGCGGGTTTCCCCCCTCCCCTCCTTAACCTGCCTGCGGCCCACCGACATGCAGGCGGGGCAGGCAAGCTGCTAAAACACCCAGAAAGAAGAGGGAAATGTTAGGACAAGGGCTGAGATAAGAGCCTTGTGCAACCAAGATTGCAGCAGACCTTGTGCGGAGGGAGCCGGCCTTGCAGGAAAGACTCAGCTCTGTCAAGAAGCACCGAGGAGTTCCGCAGCTCAGGCCTGGGAGGAGGAATGAGCTTGCAGATTGCATCTGCTGTACTTAGAACTGCAGACCCGCAAGTGCCATGGAGGAAATTTCAATGCACTTTCAAACCTGAATTTCAGAGGTTGGACTCTGAAAAGCTTGACTTCTGCTGGGGCCAGAAGTTCCTTCAAGGCTGGGTGGACAATAGACATGACTTCCCACTAGTCCAAGACATCTTAAAAGGCTTCAAGCCAGAAGCTGGGGAACCAGATGGGATGTCCTTTCTGGTCCCTTCTAAGGAAGCTGATTTTAGGAAGAGGAAGTAGAGAGTAATGTGCGGGCAGCTGCTTAATGTTTCTAATCAGCCAGCCAAGCCCGAGCTGGGGAGTAGCGAGGGTGTTTTAGGTGGTGCTAAGCTGCAGAGTGACTCCTATGGGTGCAGAGTCCCCACCCTGCGTCCTCCAGCGGCCCGGGCCTGTGCTCTGCACACCTGTGCTCACTCAGCGCATCCGGGTCGGGGCGCCCAGCTTTCCCTGGAGGAGCCCATGCCTCCCTTACTCTCTCAGGTGGAAGCAGCTGAAGGGGAGTGGAGTTTGAAAGGTTTTAGCAGAAGTTGAGGCAAAAGGGGCTCCCTTAGCTGGACCATCCTGCACTGTGTGATCAGGGAGGCAGGGAACCCAGCCTAGCTGGCCCAAGGCCCCTAGACGTGAGTTCCTCGAATTGCACCTGGATAAAAGGGAGAAGCCACTTCCTCCCAGGCTCAGTCTCCCTTAGCGACCCAGGGAATGACCTCAGCCAGGCGGGGGCTTCTTGGGGGCAGTGCGTGGGGAGAGCGTGTGTGTGAAGGAGGGAAAGTGGGCCACCACTTTAAACATGGGACTAGGAATTTTACATTTCCTGGATTTTTGCCCGGATGCTTCCTAATCCTAAGTGAGGAACCATATCCAAGGAAAGCTAAGGCCAGGGCTAGTCCTGGACAGCCCTGCAGGGCAAAGCAGGTTTGGACTTGACCTCAGCCACGTTCGCTGCTGCAGCGATACCCTCCACCACCCGGCCACTTGGGAGCAGCAGCTGGGTCTTATTTGTGAGTCCCGCCTCTCACAGTGCGAGGCACACAGTAGGTCTTGGTCTTAATTTTGCAGCATTATTTTCCTTCCTATTTTACAATCAAAGCTCATCTCAGAAAAAGGTAAGGTTAGCTCATTCACACTGGGGTGTCCGTGAATAACAGCAGCTTAAAGTGTTATTTGTACTAGGGGCATTTTAAAAGAGGGGACGGAGAAATGAAGTGGTACCATGGAGGCGGGCGCACTATGTATATGCAGCCAGCCGTGGTTGTGATGTGGAATAACGAGGAGGGGTGTGTGTGTGTGTGTGTTTGTGTGTAGACCCACCCTGCATGAGCACCTGCCTCCCCTGCCCCCAAAAGTACCCACCTGGTCAGCATTCCACAGAGCTGCGGGTCTTTGATTCAGATTTCACGTGTCACATGCTCCTGTTTTCCTTTGCAGGGTTCTACGTGCAGGAGATGGCTGACGAGAGCACCGCCAAGCTGTACTCGGGGCTGCTGGGGGTGGGGGACGAGATCCTCGAGGTGAACGGGGCCAAGGTTGCAGGGCTGGGCTTGGCTCACATTCAGGAGCTCCTGGCCCACGCGGAGAGTTTGTCAATCCGTGTGCTGAGGCAGAGGCCGGTCCCGAGGTGACCCGAAGGTACCTTTGCCTTCGCTATCACCCCCTTGGAGACCTTGGAGACCACCCTGGGGAGGGGGGCTGGGAATGCACTACACAAAGCTGCTTTGTCTACTGAAAATGAATACGGTGGCGTGTGACCCCTGGGCTGTGACTGACCACCCTAGCAAGAGGGGAGGAGCCTGTGTGTGTATTTTGTTGAAGGGTGTTAATTTATGCCGAACTGGGTAAAAAATCCACCCTGACCACGCCTGAGGTGTTGTCAACCTCTTCCTACACCTTTGTTGGCAGCGGAGGAGAGAGATCCAGTGGGTCCTTCGGTTGGTCCCTGAGCATCGCCTCACCTCCAGGTCCCATCCACTCTGTCAGGGGCTCCTTCAGCCACCCCTTCCCCAACTCCAGAACCAAAGAAAGTGCTTGGCCATATTGGCCTCAGTCTCACTTCTCCCAGCTCCCATTTGGCACCTTTGCTATTTTTCCAGAAATAGGCAAAGCGTCCTGGGGTAACAGCCTGACAGCCATTGACCATATATTCCTAACCAAATATTGGCATATGTGGTCTGGTGTTGAAAACATCTGGGAGATGTTAATCTGGTAGGAAATCTTTGTGATATATACAAGTTTGAAGGAAAAAAAATGAAACCGAGACCAATTTCAGGGAAGTGCAGCTGTGACCAGTGGGTCTGGCCAGACCAGCCCCGCCCCAGCCCCGCCTCTGCCCAGAGCAAGGCTGGAGCTGCCGCAGCCTGGCCGTGAGGACCTCTGTCTTTCTTCTCCCGTGACCTCGGACATGGGCTGCAGCTGGTGCCAGGCTGTCCCCAGCCACAGGCTCTCCGCCCCAACTCCCTGACAGCAGCTGTGGGTGGGCGGATGGCAGGACATGAGCAGGGGGATGGGCTGTCCTGCCTGGGCACTTCACTGCCCTAAGGGTTGGGACTCTGGGAGATGGCCGTGTCTCAGTCTTAAATTATTAAAAAAAAAAAACAACAAAGCTGAAACTTCTGCCACTCTGAGTTGCTAAATTCTGGGCTGCATGCTCACTGGACCTTCACTTGCCTGGCACGGGCCGGGGCTGGGGGGAGGGGTAAGAGGACACAGGCACAGCAGTGGGCTGTGCTGGGCATGCGGGGGGTGGGGGGGGAGACTGGGCAGGGCTAGGGAGGCCCCTGGGGTTGGGGTGACAGCCAGGGTTGATGCAGAGGCCTCCAGAGATGACCCCCTGCTGGGAGAGGAGCCCTGGGCAAGGTGCATTTAGGAGCAGGAGACAGAATGGAGCTAAGTGGCCTTGGATAGGAGTGGTGGAGGTAGGGAAGGGGTGGAGTGGGCAGTCCAGAGCTGCTTTATAACTGGCTGGGTGCAGGCTGTGGTCAAAACACAGCAGAATCAAGTTAAAATGAGTGTCTTGGCAGCTCTCAGCTGGCAAGGTCACTGAAGGAGGCACGTGGTCTGAGGGAACGGTGATGGAGGAGGAGACAGGCAATCCCATGGAGGGTGTGTGTTCAGTGTTCTCTCCTTCTAGGGCCTTCTCAGCAGGAGCCAGTTAAAACCCCTCTTTACTGTCCCCAGAGGCTGGGGGGTAGGGGGCTCCCAGAGCCCCCAGCACTGCAGGATGGGGAGCCTGGGCCCACCTGGGGTCGGGGTGAAGGGGGGGTGAGGAGGCTCTGTCAGGTGAGTAGAGCGGTCAGGGGAACAAGTGCTTAGGTCTTCAGGGTGTTAAGGGGGCACTGGGACACCTCAGAGACCAACCTGGGGTCCCCAAAGCATAAAAATGTCCCCATAGCAGAAACTGCAGGAGTGGAGAAACCCTGGCAGCCCCTGTACCCTGGCTTATGGCCTTGTGGTCATAAAATTTTAGGGAAACTTCATGTTGAAAAACACTTCTAGGGACATTTCTGTTTTCTCTGTCTGGCGAGGATAAGGAGGCTCACAGGCCTTTCTGGCCCAAGCTGGGAAGAAGTGGATGTGGGGGCGGGGCGGGCTGGGACCTGGCAGGGACAGGTCTCTAAGGAACACTGAGCCGCTGGCTGCTTCCGTTACTGGCCAGGTGTGGGGCCAGGTTCCTGACACATCTTATTTCATCCTTAAAATAGTTCTGCCAGGGATGTCTTGTTTATTGTCTTCATTTACACAGATGGAGAACCAAGTTCAGAGGTAATGACGGCGTTCAGACTCAGCCCTAACTTGGGGCCCACTCTTCCTGTGGCAGCCCCATCCCTCCCTCCCCTGCCCCCCCCCATGCCAGAAAAGATTTGATGGAAAAGGGAGGGAGGGAGGCACTCAGGGCTGGTGTGAAGCAGCTCTGCCTTGCTCTGATTCCAAGGAGGCAGAAGGCACTCCTTCCTGATGCTGGACCCAGACTTGAGTGGGTGGGAAGGGACAGTTGTGGGACACAGGACGGGCTGGTCAGTGACACGGTGACATGGGTTGGTAAAAGAATTTACCAGAGATGAAGGAGGAGAATAGAAAAGGAGTTTATTAGTTTGTGCTGCCGTAGACAACAGCAGGCCACACAGATGAGCAGTGCCCACGTGCGCACCGAGGGCCGGGTGTTGGGGTCTTTTATGAGATATGGTCACAAGGTGCCTGATCAGCTTGTGCACAAGTCTCTGATTGGTTGTAGGTGATGTAAGGAGTTTAGGGGGTCCGTGAAGGGTGGTGGGGTTTATAATTGATAAGGTGGGTTGAGACAAGCCAGCCTGAGCGACTGTGAGATTAGGCATTGCCTAGGACTAATAGTTTGTTAGGGAAACACACCCAGTAAAGAGTGTACTTTATCTGTTGAGGGATCACAGGCAGACATCTGAGAGCCCAGGAATGGGGGGACGGTGGACTTTGAAGGATGTCAGTTGGCCCCAGAGAGACTGGTTTGGCCAGCCTCCTGTCTGACCTTATCCATCTGCTCTGCCTGGGGAACTGATCCGGAAAGCTAGGCCCCATCAACCACGCCTCCCACGGGATCATCAGAACCTCTTACAACCTAGTGTCCCGCTCCTGCCCGAGCCCAGGGCGATGAGAAAGACCCGCCCAACCTCTCCGGCGCAGCGGCAGGGGGAGACACTCAAACACCCACACCTGGCCTGGTGGTGCCACGAGAGGAGGCACCTGGCTGGCCAGCCTGAGTGATCACAGATCGGCTGGGGGAGGCGGGCTTATGCGGGGGGAGGAGGGGAGTGCGCCCGCGCAGGGTTTTGTAAATCCAGGAGGAACTTACAGGAAGGTAAGGGAAAGGACGTTCAGGCACAGAAAATAAACAGCTTGTGCGCAGGTACGGGTTTCTCCGGAGTCCGCCCTCTGTCCCTGCGGCGGCAGTGTATGGTACACGACTTGTCCGGGCCTCGCTTCCCACAGGTAGGCACCTGGCACTGCGACTGTACGAGACAGAAAGTGGCAGCAACTTTGGCCTCAGGCCTGTCCCTGTCCTTAGGATGCCGGGAGCGGGGTGAGGTGGGGGGGACGGCGGGTTCAGAGCCCCTGGGTCCTGCGCTCGCCGGGCAGGCTTTGGGAGGGAGGGCGCCGAGCGACTCCCGACGCCGATGTTGGCTTTTTCTCAAGAACGCCTCACGGAGGGCAGTGGGGGGCAGGTTGCAGGCGAGAGCCCGTCTCCACAGGGC